AGAAACTAATTGTCGAAGATCATTGGCAAAATCCAGGGAGATGGGATGAAAAAACAGCCTTGAACATCATGTTATTTATTGTACGTTCTGAACCAGCATAGGGCAAACTCCCCAAAGGGAATAGAAAAATACTTGGGCCCATACCCACAGGGGATGGAAGCAGGCAGCCATCTCATGGTGGTAACTATCATCTGACCCTGTGGGAGCTGGAGTTCTCTGTCCCCAACTAGCCCACATCTGCATCTGTATTGCCAGATCTTTTCAGAGACTAAATACCCAAATACAGTAAAGCAAGAAGTAGAGAAAGATTCGAAGCAGCGTGCTTTAAAAATCATTTTTTGTAACAAACAGATGAAGTTCAGTCTCCTGAAGGAGAGCCAGAAGGATATGATCTCTATAGTCAGATCAAGCTAAAACAAGGCAAAAATTGCAGAAGTTATCTGAAACAAGATAGCGACCTAAAGTGGAGGCAGTAAAAGAACTAAATTGATTAGAAGTTTTGATTCATGAAATATTCATTTAATATTTATTGAACACCTACTATGTGGCTGCTTTTCTCGGTATTTACAGTGTAGTAGTGAACAGAACATGTAAGCAATTATGGAAGATCCAATGTAAGGTTTCTAGTGGAAATATATTTAAAAATAGTAGTAGAAACGACATTTAAGGTTGTTAGAAGAAAACTTTTCTAAGTTCATTGATTTCCAGTTAATATTACTTCAGAATGCGCATGCGCGCGCGCGCGCGCACACACACACACACACACACACACACACACACACACATATATCCTTCTAGACATATTCTGATAACAGTAGGCAGAAAATAAGTTATCTACATTGGAACAGATATCAAATTGGCCTCAGACTTCTTTTCTGTAACATGAAATACTAGAAGATCATCAGGGCATTGCTAGCCCATGTGGAGCCTTATGTGGATTAGAAAATGGCAGTCCTTCTTTTATGGCCCTGGCTGGATAGCTCATTTGATTAGAGCATTGTCCCCATAGGTACACCAAGATTGCCAGTTCGATCTCTGGTCAGGGCACATATAAAGAGCAATCAATAAATACATAAACAAGTGGAACAACAAAATTGATACTTCTCTCTCTCCTTCCCTTCTCCTCCTTCTCCCCTTCATTCTCTGTAAAAAAAAAAGAAAAAAGAAAAAAAATGGCAGTCCTTCTTTTAAGATCTTTCATTTTCTTCTTGGAAAAATAATCAGTATGCGGGTTTTGTTACAACAAGATACTTACTCCTATCTGCTGGAAAGTTGCTTTAATAAACACAAATCTGCGATGTCTGAGCTGAATGGCACTTTCCAGGGCTTTGTGGTGCATACAACCTTACAGTGACCCTAAATGGTGGAGAATGTTAGAATTCTGTGCCCGCTGAGTTGCCATTCAAAGATGCACACTGGCTGAGCAAAATCTTAATGCAAATAGAGCACTCAAATTTATGAAAACCACATTAGGAAAGGACTGGTGGAGAACAGTGCGGCCAATTAATATGTAAAGAAGCATAGACTAAATATAATAGCTCATGTGTGTATAATTACAAGTTAAATATAGCCAAAACCTATTGTCAGAATAAATTTATTTAACAAAATGTTATGAAAAGAATCAGGATCTGTAACCTCAGATTAATTTAAAATTGTTTAAGGTCACAATAACTTAAGCTGGTTCTGGCATAAGAATCAATAATACAGACTAGACTGTTGTATTTGTATTTGAATACGAAACATGGATTAAAATATTTTAAAATACTTCAGTTGTCAAATTGTATTTCTTGCTATTTGGATGAAGAAATAAAGACTTTCTCCCAATGAAGGGTCTCCTCAGACAGTCATTAGAAAATGAATTGTAGAGTATAACCTTTGCATTGGTTTAATCTATGAATAGTAAAGTATAATAAAACCAGTATCTTTTTCTGTTGTTTTATAATGAATGTTGGATATTTAAAATTACAGAACAAAACATTAAAACGATGACTCCTGCTACTTTCTTATACAGTGTATGATCGGTTTAGAGAATTCACTGTTTCAAAGCATAATCAAATCAAGTTATGTAAGCACATTTTAAATAACAGTAAATTTTATGATTGTTAATACCCATTAGCTGCTTTGCCAACATCTTAAGAAAGAAAACCATTGATTCTGGGAATAAACCAAACACTCAGGAGCTTTAGACAGCCAGTGCCAAGAGTGAGTTTTAGTAAGTCTCTGTGTCCAGTATGGTTGTTTAGTGATTGAGGCATGATTTTTATGGGCAGAGATCTTGAGAAGTTTTATAGGCCCTCCAGACACTGTTTTACTGTTTTATACCCTTTGACCCAGTTATATCATTTATACAACTTATTGTATGGAAACCAAGATGCAGATGTTGAAATATGCCCATTGATAGACTGTTTAAATAACAATTCGTTATAAATGGTGGTTTTAAAAATTAATAACAGATAAATATACCTTATATAATATTAAGTGAAATAAAAGCAATATGTATGACAATATACAATATTACTATTCCAATTTGAGAAAAATTTACTGGAAAAAAATATACCAAATGTAACAAGGGTTATATAAATAGCTTTTTATTTCTTCTTTATACTCCTTTTATACTCTTATACTGTTTTTATACTCTTTATATTCTTTTATATTTTCTGTAATGAGTTTGTGTATTTCCATAGCAGATTGAATAAAAATGAAATATTGAATATTTTCCAGCATCATCTTCTGCCCTTAATTATATGTGTTTTCTAGCAACCATTGAATTGATTTTATGTAGAAAACCTTATCTGTTTGGCTTTATTCTTTAAGTAAATGTAGAAACCATAGTGTATGTGTGTGTGTGTGTGTGTGTGTGTGTGTGTGTGTGTGTTGAGGAGAGAGAGGATTTACATGGTATTGGTGAAAGGATAAATAAAGTAATAAACATTTCATTTTATTTGACCCCCCTTTTGTGCAACTGTTTTATATAATAAAGTCTATTTATGAAATGATAGGGGGAAAAACTAATGAATTTTTTATTCAAGATGGTGTAAATGTACTAGTTTTAAATTTGAATCTGTAGTCATGTTAATGGACAATTTTGAACCAAGTAAGGCCTTTTATAAAGTCAGGTAAGTTTTTGACACTTAGGAAGCATTAAAAAAATGTATTTGGGGGTCTGAGTTTAGAGTACAGTATAGGGTGAAGCACTACCTGAAACTTCTCACCGTGGGAATAGTGTTACTTTCTTCCTGGATGCATATCATGCTGTCCCCTAGTTTGCGCTGTGAGCAGTTTCCTGATAGGGTTTGCTCTTTTTCTTATACCATAGGTAGGTTGCTAGCTAGAGCCATTTGGAAAAGAGCAACATGAGAGAATGTATTGAGAGAGGGTAGCATACTTAGAAGAGTTACCTGCTACTATCGGTACTAATATTCTAGCCCTTCATTTCCTGCATTACATTGACTTTGCAGTTATTCCTTCTCAGTGTTGAAATTTACAATATCAGAAAGTACCTGGAAGGCTGAGTTTCCTTAAGTCAGAAGGTCTGCTAATATACAGGGTCCCCCCAAAAATGTATACAGGTGTTTGTAGATTCTGTTACATTTTGAAAATGAAATGGATTTTAATAAACACTGGCTTTATAATTAAAGTTAGGTGTACATTTTCTGGTATACCCTATACAAATACATTGTATCCCAAAACCTGCCTGTGCTTTACAATTCTGTTCCTCCGTTAGAAACAAAAATGTAGTACCCTTAAGAATCTTTTTCCTCATTAGCCTATAAAGCACTTTCAGATAATTTTTCCCCAATAAGACAAATATGAAAGCTGATACTTTCTTTTTTCAGTGGGCAAACGAGAAATAGAAAGGTTTGATTTACACACATAGTTACAACTCAGGGTTTATCTTTTGGCATGAATAAAATGGTCACTTTTCCTCCCCCCAACCTTTCATTATTCCCCTTGCTTTTGTAATAAACTTGGGCGAAAAGCCACATATTTTTAATGTTAATGGTTTGGGATTTTTTTTTTTTTTTGGTTGTTGTTCTGTTTTTGTTTTGTTGTCGTTGGATGCTGTTGGTTATTGCCTGAAATTGTGTCCTTTTCTGAAGCCTTTGTTTCCATGCAGGGACAGTATTTTTTTTAGCATATTTGATCCTAGAGATTTGAATGTATGCTCAGAGTAAAAACAGGCTGAGTCATTCAGAAGACCTTTCTATATGACATGTTTGCTTTGAGGACTATATATTATTTTATCAATAGATTTTTATAGACCAGAATTGGGCATGAGTTACTTAGCTTAGTGGTACTTAGTTCTTAGTATTTCCGTTTCCTTTCTAGCCCTTATATTCTTCTCTTCCAACCAAAAAAGAAAAAAAAATTGTAACTTTTCAGTTTAAAGTAGGGTTCTGCTCATAAACTACTTCTGTTAAGGAGACCTATATAAAGACAGGGAGGGTAATTGGTATTTGGTAATCAAATGTTTGTCCTGCTTTGGATTTGAAATGACCACCCATAGGGAAGAGCTGGTGGGCAACTAGATAGTTTCATTAGGAAAAGGTACATGAAGGAAGAGACTTGGAGGAGGTATTCTGCTACTAGCAACTGCCAAGTATTGTAGAAGCGTTGTCTCTAGTCTTAGAAGCCCAATTAAAATATGTCTCTGGGTTTCAGAGGGCAGTACAGTTGGTAGTCTAGTGTCAGTCATCCTGACAGTTTTGTTTAACCTCAGTACATTGACATTTTTGGTTCATCCATGTTTTTTCACCATCTCTGCTCTTTTCCTCCTCCCTTGCTTCCCCCTCTCCTTTTCCTTTCCTGACAATGCCTGCAGGGTGGTAAGAAAGAATTTTGGAACCAAGAAGTGAGGGACTGGGAGGAGGAGGATCTATTTTTTACTCTCTGGTTCTTGCTACTCTGTCCCAGAATATATACCTAGCCCTGGGCAATTGGGATTCCCAGACTGAAAAACATGGGAGAATGACTTTCCTTCTGCCTCTTTTCCTTTGCAGGAAACGCATGAAATTGTGGCAATCAAGAAATTCAAGGATAGTGAAGGTACATATGTTTCTCTCTCTCTCTCTCTCTCTCTCTCTCTCTCTCTCTCTCTCTCTCTCTCTCGTGTGTGTATTTAGTTTCTGTGAGTAGAATGTGGAATAGATGGGATTGAGCTGATTAGACTCTATTCCTGAAATTATAAAGTGTCAACCTTAGAAATATAGCTTATTTATTATCATGCTTTGCTTTGAACATTTTAGTTCCTTCTATGTGAATTTTTTCAAATCTCATGATATTAGAAAACTCATCTTGTATTTTAAGGTACAGTCAACATTGGAAAACGTGCTTCATATACTGGATAGAAGGAATGCTATTTACATTGTATCCAAATATTAATAAAATGAGGAAACTAATTTGAAGTAAATATTTCTGTGTGTTCACACAAATAGCAAGCATAGTACCGGCATTGGGTACTATGATCTCCAGTTCCTAGTCAATTAGAAGTACAAGAATAAATGGTATGTAGATGGTATCAAGGGAGTGGTTTTATAAAAGTTATTGGTAAATAAAAGCTTTTCAAGGGTAAGTACTATACTTGGAGGGCTTGGTCACATGTCCAGACCATTTTGAATAGAGTATTAAAATTTTCCCATGTGCCCAGCTGGTTTGGCTCAGTGCTTGAGTGTTGACCCATGCACCAAGAGATCTGTGGTCCGATTCCCAGTCAGAGCACATGCCCAGGTTGTGAGCCCAATCCCCAGTGAGGGGTGTGCAGGAGGCGACCAATCAATGCTCTCTCTCACCCATGTTTCTCTCTGTCTCCCTCTCCCTTCCCCCCTCTCTCTCTAAAGTCCATAAAGAAACATTTTTTTTTTTAAGTATCCCATACTGGGTGAGAAAGGTTAAAAGAAACCACTTTTTACAAGTAATGTACAAAAAAAGATAATGTATCAGAAAATAAGTAAATAAAACATTTTAGTAGTTTATTGGGTTTTGAATGTAGATTATTGGCCATTTAAAGATAGTCAAGTAGAAAAACCGACCATGAAGACATCCATGGTATTTGAGAAGCTCTAGGTAGCATTTTTCTAATTTGTTTTTTGACAGAGACCCATAGTAGAAATATTTTTTACATCCTAACCCAGTATAAGCATACATAATGTCCTATATAGAACTGAAACAAAAAGTGTCACAAAACTGCTTTACTTTAGTAATGTGAGGTTCTCCATTTTCTGTTTTTTCCCTGCTCATATAAATTCATGTAAATGCTTATTGTGGCATCAAATACATTGATTTCACCACTAATGAGTCACAACCTGCCAATTGAAAAATAGTGCTCCAAGTGTAAGAGTCACCAGCATAGCATCAACCTTCATATCTAATTAGAAGTATGACAATAGCAGTCACAGCCTACCTTCATCAGCACACATTGACTGTAAGACAGCAGCCTCTATATTTATGAACAGTTTCATCACCCTTACCTTAGAGACTTAGCAAACCTTAAATAACTAAAAGGGCTCCCTGACAAAGTCCTGTGGTGTAAAGTCAGTGGTATGTGATGTAACCTGACTCTGATGTGCTGGTTATGTGGAGCACATGCACACCAGCCAGGAACTTGTGCAGCCATTGTCCTGGTAGCCTTAAAGAGAAGGCCATAAAAAAATGCTTCCGGCTTATTCTAAAAAAAAAAAAAAAAGAAAGAAAGAAACTGCTTCAAATGATGTACCTGTGGTCTAACAGGAAACAATAGCCCAGGCCAACCCTGAGACCATTGGAAATGAGCTCTCTGAGCTGTGGCTTTGAGCTAACCACAGGTGGCCAAGAGACAAATGGTGATCTACTAAAAAGAGTGGTTGCAACACTAGATCAAAGCAAAGCCTTCATATGAGTGTAAAGACTTCTGACTGTGTATTCATCTTGTAAGGCGCATCATCAAGCATCAGTTACCACCAAAAATAATACCTCATCAATTTTTTGAAAAGCAGTACAATCTATGGACATGTATGCCATTGCTTTTTTAAAAAAAACTAAATACCATGTTCTTTACAACCTCTATCTTATGCATAGCAATTCTTAGTTTCAATTAAATGATATGTTTGTACCTGTGTTATGTCTTCAGAGTGGCAATCAGTAGTATATCTGTTGAAATTCATTGAGCACTGAAAGAGGTACTGTAAGAGCTGTGAAGGTAAATCAGGTGCAGATATTGTCAAGAAGCTTATGACCTATTAGTAGAATTAAGACCTGTAAATAAACAGCAGTAAAATAGAGTATAAAGCAGTCAGTACCTGAATGAATTTGCATAATTTTGAGGCCAGATTGCCTAGCTGGTGTCCCAAGAATGCATGAATAGTGTAGACATTGTAGGAAACATTTGATCAGCCCCCATTTCACGGAGCTGACAAGACATGAAGCCAAATCCGCCTTCATCTCTATGGGGCCATTATCAGTTACCAAACCTCAGGCACTCTTGTGAGCAAAGGAGCATCCTCAAAAGGAGTTACACATGTTTCTGTCTTTCCATGATACCAAGTTTATTAGGGGAGACCTCCCCAATAAGCCAGTAGAGTCACATGTAAGTTACACACAGAGAGGGGAAGTGTATGTGATAGAAGTGAGCAGAGCGAGTGTCCAGAGCAAAGTCCCAGTCACTGCCAGCGTGTGTAGGTGGAGAGGTGGGCATGGGTCTCAGGCTAGGCGGCTACAGTGGCAGCATGCATCTGGTGAAGTGGAGTTCCAGCAGGGCTCCAACTGTGACTAAGCTTGAGCATTGGGTGATCAGAACGCTGAGTTCTTAGAGCCCACCAGGGGTGGAGGCCCCATTCATATCAGTGTTCAGATGGAATCCTTATCCAAGTGTCCAGACTTGTGGTTTTGGGCATTCCAGGCCCTTCCAAGGTCATTCCTGGCCCTCCTAAGGTTGTTCCAGGCCCTCTTAAGGGGGTTCCCTTTACACCCCATTCCCTCAGTTCTTGACGCAACACTTGACATAACTGTCATGGCTGACTGACTCCATATTGGATTGTCAGAGGGGTCCAAAAAGTCCACTCTGCTCTTGCTCTATATACCCACCCACTTTGCAGATGGACACCTTTGTAGGTATGCCTATACATACTTCTAGAGGGAGACTTCCTAAACATTTCTGTGATAAAATCTGAAGACATATCCAATTACTCATAACTTTTTAGTTCAGTCCTATTTTAGGTACACTTTCCTACTGTTTCCAGTTCTCCCTGGGAGATATCATGCTCTCTTTTTTTGTCTTTACCCTTTTCCTCCTGCCAGAGTAGTATCTTGCTTAATGGAAAGTAAGGGAATGTGTGTGGTGAACAACATTTTTGGAATGTGAGATGTACATAGATAGTCTAGTACAGATGAAGATGTGCATTCAACCCTTATGTAAAACACTTTATTCAGTTTATCATCTTAAATTTTAGTCAGATCAATTATAATAAAAATAGTTTCATAATATTGCCCTTATTGTCATATAGCTCTCATTAATCTATTTTATTAGTTAATCTCTTGATACTATGATAGTGACTTTTCTAAATGAAATATTTAAATTTTTGTGGAGATAATGAAATAACTTTGTAAAAACATTATTAAACTATAATAGGATCTGAACTTGATCTGACCCACATTCAAGCTAATCAAGTACTCACACTGATGATATCAAGGGATATTTTTTTTGAAAGTATATATTACCTTCTGTTAGCTTTAAAAGATTATGACTACTGCCCTGGCCATGTAGCTCAGTTGGTTGGAGTGTTAGCCCATACACCAAAAGGTTGTGGGGTTCAATTCCTGGTTAGGGCATATACCCTGGTTGCAGACGCAATCCCCAGTCGGAGGTATATGGGAGGCAACCAATTGATGTTTCTTTCTCACATTGAGGTCTCTCTCTCCCTTTCTCTCTCCCTCCCTCTCCCTCTCCCCCTTTCTCCCTCCCTCCTGCTCTTCCTCTCTCTCTAACATCAATAAAAACATACCCTCAGGTAAGGATTAAAAATAAAAGGATTATGTCCTTATTATCCTGGGATAGTAGATCTTTATTTAAAATGGAAACCAAAATTCCATAGTAAATAAAAGGTTAGATTGGGAAAAATAAACTAAAATTACAAAAATAAGTTTACCTTATAGTTAACACAATTTAGGTTATAATAGCAACTATGTGCTATTTCTTAGAAGAAAGAATCAAGTGTTCTCTTTTGGGGGGAACAACTTTTACTAGGTCAACGAAGGGTTTTCACAATAAAAAGAGTCATTAAAAAATACACAGAAGGCTTTCTCAGTTTTTTCTTTGTTTTTGTATGTTCCCGTCTTTTTGTCTTCATCCTGTGAGTTTTTTATTCTGATATAACTTTATTATATCATTTGTCAGTTGTCTTTGCCTATGGGGGACAAAAACTCCTGTTAAAAGGGAGGAATGTTTGAGTGATGGCATTTTTTTCTGAAATCACTTCATTAGTTATTATTTTCTTATTTTGATGGTGTTTGCTTCTTTATACATAATCACAAATGTGGAATCTCAGATAATGAATTCTTAATGATAACCTGAGTGATAGTATTATACATTTGTCTATTAATGTAAGTTTCTACAGAGAAACATTAAGTAATAAACACATAACCAACCAGAGGTCTCCGTAGAATTAATTCTACTCACTATTGGGGTTTTCTGAGAAGAGAAAAATGACCACAGATTGAAAAGATACTAGAGATTATTTAGTTAAAAGGTACTTTCAGACTATATATAAGGATAACATTAGCCTAGTTCTTTTACCCTTCCTTTAAGTCCAGTCTTGTACAATGATATTTGATGTTCAGATGATAACCTTCTATCACTATTGGATTATCATTCTCATGTACACACATACACATCTGCATTTTTGATTTATGAAATCATCCAAGAGCACTGATTTAGACTAGATAGCTTTGGACCAGCAAGAATTAAAACATTGTTCAGCCTTTACTTGAGGAGATCCTGTGATCTAGAATTTATTTTCAACATATACATTTGGAACTTCTGATGTGACAACATCTTTTGCTTCTTTGGACTTTTC